AGGAGAATGGAGAAGAAGGGATTGCGGCGTGACCATCTCCCCTGGGGAGTGATTTCTCGCTTTCTGTCTCTATGTCTCTCTCTGTCTGTCTGGCGAGTGCACGTGCCCTATAGCGAAAAAAACCTCTCCAAAAAAAAAAAAAAAGAATGAGCATTGGGGGAGCCAGCAGGTGGCATGGTGGTTAAAGGTGCTGGACTCCCATATGGCCGACTGCGGTTCAAGTCCTGGACTTGGTGGCTTGCTTTCTCGCTTTCCCTCTCTCTCTTTCTCTGACTCTCTGATCAAACTGGAAAATAATAATAATAAGTAAAGTTAAATAAAAAAAATAATTCTTTAAAAAAAAAAAAAGAATGAGCTTCAGGGTTGCCTGGAGTCCCTTAACATTGAGATAAGTTCATGTTCACACACACACACACACACACACACACACACACACACAACCTGCCAACGTGTGGGCCTGTGAATGTGCGACGAAGTTCACTTTGACTGTGAGCAAGTGACCTGAAGATGTAAGACTAGAATCAGTGACTTGGCAGGTCCTCGTCCTTCCCTAAAGCCTTGTGCACCCCTTGAGGATTGCGAGTAGCCTTTTCGTGTGCATGGCATAATACATAAAATGTTTTTTACAGATATGTTCCTAAAACATCACTGAGTTCACCACCTTGGCCAGAAACTGTTTTGCCAGACCCAGTTGAAGAGACCAGACACCACACAGGTAAAAGATCACCATGGATTTGAAGCTAGAGACCAGCACCCACCCGCCTGTGTCACCCACAGCACCTCTGTGTCACCCAGCACAGAACGAGGGCTTCGTGGTTCCAGGTCCTCCATGACAGCACAGTGTGAATGCTCACGTTCAGTTTTGCCAGTCACACCAAAATTTAAATGTTCATTCCTTTAACAGCTCTCCCTGAGCACCTGCCATGGTGCAGGGGTGGTGTGAGGCAGGAAAGGGTTCATCTCTTGGCTCCTGCTGCTGGTGGAAGTGCGGGTTCAGGGACAAGTGCTCCCCAGTCAAAAGAACTACTGTGCATGATGATGAAAGGAAGTTGGTACTGCCTTGGGTTGCAGAAATATTCAGGGGTGTCAGGGATCCGGTCAGCCCAGAGCATGGGTGGTGAGGAGGGACAGCGTCCCTGCCAGCCACTGTTGCCGCGAGAAAGTGCCAGATCCTCAGTTTTCCCCAAAGCTAAAGATCCAGATTACTGAGTGGAATCTTCCTGTATTGTAAAATACTGTTGGGTCGTCAGAAAAGTCATGACGTATTTTTCTATGCAAAATCCATCATGACCTTTTCAACAACCCAGATGTTATGCAAGACAAGCAAATACACCGAGAGTTCCTCCTCGCTGGCTGCAGCTTCTGGACTTGACTGTCTCCAGGGCAGGAACCGTGTCATGCCTAGCCCTGGGCCAAGCCAGACCAGGTGGATCAGGGCTCAGTAAGTGCTCATTCAGAGTCAATGGTGCAGGGTAGAGGGCAGTGTAAACTGAGTCAGGGCAGTGAAAACAGAAGCAAAGCATGAGAGACCCCCTTCCCTGCAACTGTGGGCAGAGGTGTGCCCCCATGTAGCAGAGGCATGCAGTAGAACCCGCCCAGCCCACAGGCATGTAAGTCTGGCTGTTCTTTGTTATAAAAGACCTCTCCTTTCACTTCTCAGGGTGTGCATACTCCCTGTCTGGCCTTCCCCTCGTTAATACTGAATGGGAATAAGCAGGGTGGCAGTTTCTCCCCACGCCAGTCTCGACACAGAGCCAGGCATGCTGAGTACTCTGGCTCAGTGCTGCAGGAGGCAGTTTGGGTTTTCTGTGGAGTCGGGGGTAACTTGCAGCTCTGAGAGCCCCATGCCAGGGTGCTGGTGCCCCGAGAATAGCAGACTGACCACTCCTGTGTCACTGCAGTGGGAGAATGGGCTGGGGCATGCGGGGTGGATGGAGGCTGCTGTTGCCCTTCTCACATGGGTGACTTCCACTCACCATGTCCCTGCAGAGGTCGTGAAGAAGGTGAATGAGCTGATCGCCTCGGGGCAGTATGGCAGGCTCTTTGCCGTGGTGCACTTCACTAGCCACCAGTGGAAGGTGACAGCCGAAGACCTAATTTTAATCGGAAATGAGCTAGATGTGGCGTGCGGAGAGAGGATTCAGTTGGAGAAGGTGAGACTGCCGAGTTCCTTTGTGTATTCAGGGACACAGTCACCAAATATGCAGTGTGTGCACTCCCCAATTCATCTCCGAGGGGCTTTCCTTAAGGCTGAGGTAAAGGCTAGCAAAACCAAGGGGGCAGACACAGGGGCAGCGCCCCCTCAGTGCCACAGAAGGCAGAACCAGCTTCTCTGAGAAGGACACCCGCACAGCAGATTTTCTCCTCAGAGGGAAACAGCACATCGCTCTCAGGACAAATGTAGGCATCTTTATGGCTTTGCCTTGCGAGATTATTTCTGAATTTCCATAGAAAAATGTTTGATCACAGATATAATAAATCCCAGTTAAGGATATAATGAGTTTTCAAGCTTATATTTATGGAGGAAAATGTGTGAAGTTTCTGCAAAAACACTTCTCCGGGGCCAGCTCCATAGCTTAATGAATGGGCTGGACCCCACATAGCCAACCACAGTTCCAGTCCCATATCCTGTACCTTGGAAAACGTGCCAGGCACATGTGTGTCCTTGCCCAAAACCCCAGCAGAATGGAGAAATGGAAGAGAAGGGGTTGCTGCAGGACCACATCCCACTGAGGAGTGCTTTCTCCCTCTTCTCTCTCTGTTTGTTTCTTTGTTTTTAAAAATATCTATTTAATTTTATTTATCATTATTCTTATTTTCTGATTTTACTACAGGGCATGTACACTTACCAGAGAGAAAGAGGAGGGAGAGAAAGTGAGAAAACAAGCTGCCGGGTCCAAAACGTAAACCATGATTGTCCATGTGGGAGTCCAGCACCTTACCCACCATGCCACATGCTGGCTCGTCTGTCATGTCTTTTTCTTTAGTGAGAGCATGTGCCCTCTGGCAGGTTAAAGAAGAAAAGAGAAAAGAAAGAAGGGAAGGGGAGGGGAAGGAAGGGAAGGGAAGAAGAAAGGAAAGGAAGGAAGGAAGTAGAGAGAAAAGAGAAGGAAGCAAGGAAAAGAAAGAGAAAAAAACGCTGTCATTAGTTTTGATGGGTGCTGCTGTTTGTAAACAGTGAAGGCTGATTTCAGATCATCGCCCTGGGAACTAATTTATCTTGCCATTCAGAACTGTTTGGTCTGTGGGACCAGCAAATGGCATAATGGTTATGTCCCTGGATGCTCATGTAGTCAACCACTGTTCAAGTCCCAAACCCAGCAGCTTAAAACTCACTCCAGGTGCCAAGAGGAGAATGGAGGAAAAGGGATTGTGGCATGGCTATACCTCTTGTAGGGTGATTTCTCACTTTCTGTCTCTGGCATGTGCACATCCACATAGCAAAAAGTCTCTCCAAAAAAAAAAAAAAAAACCTGCGTGGTCTATCTGATTATTTAGCTAACCATTTCTAGTCTTTAGTTATAAGCATTGGCTGTGTTTGGGGATCTGTCAATATTTGATTTTCACCTACTCTATGAAATTATAATGACCTTTTCAGTAGATACTTTTTCTAAGTTACATTTAACTACTAATATAATATAATATGGGACTAGTAGTTAGCGTAATGGCTATGTCGCTGGACTCCCACATTCACGGACCGCGGTTCACGTCCTGGGCCAGGTGGCTTAAACTCGCACTGGGTGTGTGTGCGTGCGTGCCCAAGATCCTGAGAGGAGAACGGAGGAGAAGGGATTGCGGCGAGGCCATCCCCCCAGGGGGTGATTTCTCGCTTTCTGTCTCTGTCTGTCTCTGTCTTTCTGGCGAGCACACGCGCCCTATAGCAAAAACCTCTCCAAAAAAAAAAAAGAAAAAAAATATATATATAATGTAATATATACAATTTACTTTATTGATTGAAACTCTTCATTTCTTTGTGATTTTAACATTTTTGTGTATTTATACCAAAGAGAAATCAAGTCTGTTTCTCAGGTGGTCTTCTCATAACTCCATGATCTGAGCTCAGCTGTTTAACTCAAAGCTGTACTAATTATAAAGCAGGGCCAATGGCTGGCGTGGTAGTTGGAGCACTCAACTCCCATGAGGCTAACTATAGATCGAATCCTAGACCTGGCCGCTTGCTTTCTCATTTTCCCTCTCTCTTGCTCTCTGATGACTAGTCAAAAATAAAATAGTAATAATTAATAAAATTAAATATTTTTAAAAATAACAAAACCGGGACCAGCAGTTGGCGTAATGGCTATGTCACTGTACTCCCATGTAGTCAACCATGGTTCGAGTCCCAGACCCAGTGGCTTAAACACACCAGGCGCATGTGCATGCGTGCCCAAGATCCCAACAGGAGAATGGAGAAGGGATTGAGGCATGGCCATCCCCCCGGGGGGGTGATTTCTCGCTTCCTGTCTCTCTGTCTCTCTCTGTCTGTCTGGCAAGCGTACGTGCCCTATAGCAAAAAAACCTCTCCCCCCCCAAAAAAAAAGCCTGAATACAAAAATATTGTATAGGAACCAGCTTGTGGCCTAGTGGTTAAAGGCACTGGACTCCCACATCGTCAACTACAGTTCAAGTCCTGGACCTGGCAGTTTGAAACTCAATGACAGGTGCATGCACATGCATGCCCAAAATCCCGAGGAGACTAGCAGAGAAGGGATTGCTGTGTGGCCATCCCCGAGGGGGAGGAGTGATTTCTCACTTTCTGTCTCTCTCGTCTCTTTAGCAAGTGTATGCACCCTATAGTAAAAATCTCTTAAAAAAAAAAAAGAAAAAAAAAAAAGGGAAGAGAACGGGACAATGGTTACATCGCTGGACTTCCGCCTAGTTGACCATGGTTCAAGTCCTAGACCCAGTGGCTTAAAACTCACTCCAGGTAGAGACCAGCAGTTAGCGTAATGACTGTGTTGCTGGACTCCCATGTGGTTGACCGCAGTTCGCATCTCGGACCCGGTGACTTAAAACTCATGCCAGGCACGTGTGCGTGTGTGCCCAAGATCCTGAGAGGAGAATGGAGGAGAAGGGATTACGGCATGGCCGTCACCCTGGGGGATGATTTCTTGCTTTCTGTCTTTCTGTCTCTCTGTCTTTCTGGCAAGCACACGTGCCCTGTAGCAAAAATCTCTCAAAAAAAAAAAAAAAACACTCCAGGTACATGTGCATGAGTGTCCAAGATCCAAAGGGGAGAATGGAGGAGAAAGGATTGTGGCATGGCCATCCCCCCCAGGAGATGATTTCTTGCTTTTTGTCTCTCTGTCTGTCTCCCCAGCAAACACATATGTCTTATAGCAAAAATCTCTCTTAAAAAAAAAAAAAAAAAAAAGAAGGAAAGAAAACACACTAGGAGAGTGTGCATGCTTGCCCAAACTCTCAAGACCAGAATGGAGGAGAAGGGATTGTGTGTGGGCTGGCCATCCCCTTGGGATGATTTCTTATTTTCTCTCTTTTTCTACCTCTCTGTGTCTATCTTCAGGGAGTACTCATGCCATATAGGAAATGAAAAAGAAAAACAAAAGTTTAAAATATGTTTTGTCTGGGGTCAGCAGGTGGCATGGTGGTTAGAGGCACTGGACATCCACATGGCCGACTGCAGTTCAAGTCCTAGATGTAGCAGCTTGCTTTCTCTCTTTTCCTTTCTCTGTCTCTCTCTGGTCAAATTAAAATAAGTAAAGGAAAGAAATGAAATGAAATAAATAATTCTTTTAAAAAATACATCTTTTGGGAACCAGCAGTTAGCGTAATGGCTATGTTGCTGGACTCTCATGTAATCGACCGTGGTTCAGTCACCGGACCCAGAGGTTTAAACTCATGTCGGGCGCGTGTGCGTGCGTGCCCAAGATCTCCAGAGGAGAAGGAATTGCGGCATGGCCATTTCCTCAGGGGGGCGATTTCTCGCTTTCTGTCTCTCTGTCTTTTTCTTTCTGGCAAGCGCCAGCCCCTATAACAAAAACCTCTCAAAAAAAAACAGTTCAGAAAAAAACATCTTTTGGGATCAGCAGTTAGCGTAATGGCTATATCGCTGGGCTCCCATGTAGTCGACAATGGTTTGAGTCCTGGACCCGGTGGCTTAAATTCACGCCGGGCATGTGTGTGTGTGGGTGTAAGATCCCAAGAAGAGAATGGAGAAGGGATTGTGGCATGACCATGCCCCCGGGCGGGGATTTCTTGCTTTCTGTCTCTCTGTCCCTCTCTGTCTTTCTGGCGAGCGTATGCGCCCTGTAGCAAAAACCTCTTCCAAAAAAAAAGAAAAGAAAAAAAAAATTATATATATATATCTTTTGTCTTTAGAATGATTGGATTTTTTCTTATCAGGAAAATTGAAGAAGGTTTTCCAACATCTAATAAAAAACACTGTTGCACTTAGAATTCATAAATGTCTTCATCTGGCCAGATGATGGTGGTTAAGGCAGCTGGATCCTACATGGCCTATTGTGCAGTTTGAGTCCTGGGCTAGCATCTTAAAAAACACACCAAACATGTGTGTATGCATCCTCGAAATCCCCCCAAGGAGAATGGAGGAGAAGAGATTGCAGCGTAGCTATCTCCCCTCCCCCAGAGGTGCTTGCTCGCTCTCTCGCTCGCTCGCTCTTTCTCTCTCTCTCCCTCTCTCTCTCTCTCTCTGTCTCTCTTTCTGGTGAGCACATTTACCCTGTAGCCAAAAAAAAAAAAGTCTTCATCTGCTGTCATAGTTTCTCGTGCACAGAGAATAGTTGCTTGTTATATGGAATTTTGCAGTCACTAAAAGAGTATAGTTGAGAGTATAAAGACTAAAATGAATCTTTGTAATATTAGCAATATTATCAACCACTTTAAAAGACACGATAGTATGATGTGTGCATTTTCTCTGTCTATATTAAGATTCAGTTAAAAGTTTCTAAAAACTCAGTTTGTATGGAAGATTAAGTTACCTGGATGTATAACCATGACATCAAATAAAATTTAACATTGCTTACTGGTAGTGAATCAATGATTAAATGCACTTTTTTGATTTTTTTCAGGTCCTACTGGTTGGGGCAGACAATTTCACACTACTTGGAAAGCCACTTCTTGGGTAAATGCTTTTGTCTAGGGTCTCAGGCCTGGGTGTGCAGACTGGGGACATTGTGCCATTGGGCCCCATGGAGAGGATTATATCCACACTCATTGTCAGTACTCAACATGTTTATCCATAGTAATAGTGGATATTTAGTGTCCTTTGAAGAGAACATCTAGATTAAATTGTTGGTCTGTGATTAATTCATTACAGTACAGCCCTTTTAAGATTCATTCATGGACTGCATGGAACTGTTGGAAAGCTTTCATATAGTTTTCAAAATGTTTACAGTGATAATCAGCCAAAAAAAAGCAAAACTTCATTTTGGAAATTCTCATGTAAAGCACTAGTAAAATAGGGACCAACAGTTGGGATAATGACTATGTCACTAGACTCCCACGTAGTCGATCATGGTTCAAGTCTCGGACCCAGCAGCTTGAACTCACGCCAGGCGTGTGTGTGTGCGTGCGTGCCCAAGATCCCAAGAGGAGACTGGAGGAGAAGGGATTACGGCGTGGCCATCCCCCTTGGGGGGGGTGATTTCTCGCTTTCTGTCTCTCTGTCTTCTCTGTCTTTCCAGTGAGCACACGTACCCTATAGCAAAAACCTCTCAAAAAAAAAAAAAAAAAAAGCACTAGTAAAATGAAAAAAGAGTTAAAAGGTACCTCATTGTTTATTTTCTTTCTTTCTAGAAAGGATCTTGTTCGAGTAGAAGCCACAGTTATTGAAAAGACAGAGTCATGGCCAAGAGTCAATATGAAATTTAAGAAAAGGAAAAACTTCAGGAAGAAAAAGAGTAAGTTGGACAAAGTGTAGTTACACCCCATGTTTGGTCCCTCGTGCTCTGGTTGTGGTCCTGTACCCGCTGTGGGCCAGGCATATGAACCCTGTTCTCAGAAGGCATCATTTTAGGTATGGTAGCCACAGAGACAGGTGAGGGCCCCCAAGGCTCTTGGGTCTGGTAGGGACCACACCAAGGGTTGGAGGGTGAGGGCCCAGGGAGACCTCAGACACCACCACTCAGATTAGGGACACGGGGACACAACAGGAAACTTGAACATTTGCCTTCACCATGACTCAGCACAGCGTGCACCACAGGCACGGATGGGAATATCTGGCACATCGGCTCATGCCGCAGACTGGCTCGTCTCTCATGCCCTCCATGGAGTGGATGACTAGGTGGAGATCTTGCCCTCTCAAATGTTGCCAGTAGTTCTGTGAATGAACTGCCCCTACATAATTACAGGAGTGGGTCTTAGGTGACCAGCAGGGTGGTACCATTTTATAAAGACTAGTGATAAGCAAAACTGTATGTTAGGCGCACACACACACATAAATATATAATAGAAAAAAATTGTAAAGGAAGAATTATTGCAGATTCCATGGCTGTGGTCCCCTATGGAGGGGAACAGGGGAATGTGAAAGGAGGACACGTGGTTAGAATGTAAAGGAACTGGTGCTCAGTTCTTATGTCCTAGTTACTTGGTAAGCTCAATGGAGTCCATATATTGTCTTAACAAGGTTACATTAAAACCTTTTTAAGAAATGCATTAACGGTGGAATTGAGGCCGGTGAGGACAGCATCCTTTGAAGGTGATTAGAGAAGAGACTAGAAAGGGGTCTGAGGTCAAGGCCAGGCTGGGGAACAGGCTGGTTTGTTTTAAGTGGTGGGAGTGGCTTTTGGTCAGAGGATGAACAGTCCTCTGAAGACTGAAGGAAGGAAAACGTGGGGAGGAGGAGAGGGAGGTGAAGAGCTACAGAGCCAAGTGGAGGGTCATCCAAGCAAGCTGCTGAGGACACCCAAGGGCAGGCGACCACTGGAGGGGCCACCAAAGAAGGGCAAAGCCACAGGCATTTGGACTGGGCAGGCTCTGAGTATAGGAGGTGAAGTGGGGAGGGAAACAAAGAGGCAAAGGCTCCTGTGGGGACGAGAGAGGTGAGTGCCCTACAAGGGCATGGGGCTCAGCAGGAGCTGCCCCATGCTACTCTGTGAGTGCAGAGTGAGGTGATGGGACAGCACAGACAAAGGGTGACCGAACCTCAACCCCGGAGGGAGGAGAGGATCACGGGCTGCTGGGTATCCAGGTAACAGCAGAGAGGAGTCCCAGTGAGTGATTCCATGGGGAGCCAGCGTGCCCTGTGGGTGCCTCCTCCATGGAAGATCCATGTGATAGGTTGAAGAGAAAACAGAGGGGCCAAGGCAAAGGTTGCTCAACAGCAGGACAGCAGGAAGTGGCCCGTGAGGTGGTCAGCCCAGAGTCAGGCAGAGCCTCTATTTATTGGTAGAGGTGCTCGGGAAGCAATGCGGGGCTGGTGCTACTACGGTTCTGTGCATGCCAAAAGTGGAATGTGTGCCAGAAGGATTGGGCCAGGGCACCAGGACTCTGAGCGAGGCAGGAAGGTGGGCCCAGCAGTCTCCTGACTACAAGGGTTTTGGTTTTCTGGGTGTACACCAAGGTGTAGGTAGGGGGAACACCCAGGATGGAGGGCAGTGGGCAGAGAGAGCTCCCCCATAGGTCTCAGTCCAGCCTCAGCTGCCCACTTTGTGCCTCCTGTCCTGGAGGGTGTACCCACCCCAGGGCCTGGCCCTCTCCTCCCCATTTTCTTTGACCCGCCCCCACGTATAACCTAGCTTTGTTCCAGTCCTTAGCCTGACATTGCCCCTAAAGAGGCAGTTAGCCCACAAGCAGATTCGGGAATGTCCTTGTAGGAGCTTCCACTAGACAGTCCCCACAAGGCAGGGGCTCCTCAAGACAGGACACAGGACCACATACCCAGGATCTTTCTTTCTTTTTTTTTTTTTTTTGGAGAGGTTTTTGCTATAGGGCGTGTGCGCTCACCAGAAAGAGAGAGAGACAGAGAAATAGAAAGCGAGAAATCACCCCCCGGGGGGATGGCCATGCCACAATCCCTTCTCCTCCATTCTCCTCTCGGGATCTTGGGCACGCACGCACACGCGCCTGGCGTGAGTTTAAGCCACCGGGTCTGGAAAGCGAACCGCAGTCAACTACATGGGAGTCCAGCGACATAGCCATTACACCAACTGCTGATCCCAATACCCAGGATCTTATCATGGGAAGTGTGTGTCCATCACGCTCTAGGTCACAGCAATAATTGTTGACCCAGGTGCCAGTTGTGGGAGTAGTTAAATATACCCAGAACAGTGGCATTTGCTGTCCTTAGAATCGGTCTGGTAGAGGAGCCTTCCTGTATATTCTGGTGCTTGCAGGTGACCTCACTGTAAGCCAGGTGGGGGGGAAAGGGGGAGATCCAACTCACTCAATCAAGAGGTCAAGGTGTGGAACCAGCCACATGGCCGACCTTGCGATTTGAGTCTCAGACCCAGAGGCTTGAAACACATACCAGGTGCCTGTGTGTGATGCCCAAAGTCCTGACAGGATGGACAGATGGAGTGGAAGGAATGGTGTAGAAGGAATTGTGATGTGGCCACACTCCATTGGGGGGGTAATTTTTCTCTCTGGCAAGTGCACGCAACCTTTAACAAAAGTCTAAAAGGAGTTGGGGGGCAGTTGGGCACAGCCACCAGGTGGTGTGGAGGTTGAGGTGCTGGATCTCAGGTGGCCGACTTCACAGTTAGTGAGACCAGCAGCTTGGAAAACATGCTAGGCATGTGCACCAAAGGTGTGTGTGCCCAAAGTCCTGAGAGGGTAATGGAGGAGAAGGGATTGCGACATGGCCATCCCCACCTCAGGGGTGGTGGAGGGTCATTTCTCCCTCTCTGTGGATACCGTCTCTGTCCAGGAAGAACATATGTCCTACCTATATGGACAACACAAATGAATGGAAAATTAAAATATGAGGGGGCCACTGTGGCCTGTGGTTCAGGTGACTGGATCCCACATGGCCAACTGTGCAGTTCTAGTTGAGAGCTCAGCAGCTTGAGAATCATGCCACACGTGCCATGCATGCCCAGAGTCCCAAAAGGAGAATGGAGGAGACGGGATTGAAATGTAACCATCCCCCATTGGGGGGTGCTTTCTCACTTTCCCTCTTTCTTTCTATCCAATAAGTACATGCAACCTCTGGCAAATAGGAAAAAAAAAAAAAAAAAGGTCAAACCATAGTCAGGGGGAGAAGACAGGATGCCAGTGCAGGGCATCCCTACCATGAGGCCACTGGTAGTCCAGCCTCTGCAGTGGCTGAGTGAGTGAGGCAGTCAGTGTGCACCTCAAAATAAACAGGGCTGTGGGAGGTGGGCTGTGGCTGGGGGTCCATGCTACCTGGGGAGGGCCGATGCCAGGGTCCCACCTCTGAGTACAGCCAGCAATGAGTAGAGGCTGCATCAAGACTTGACCGTCATTCATTCTCTCTCTCTCTCTCAGTTATCGTGACCCCACAGACCATCCTCCGGATAAACACCATTGAGATTGCTCCCTGCTTATCATGATCATTGAGCTAATATTTACAGAAGTATAAAAATAAACTAATTTTCCAAGGAGGCCATGCGTCTGTGTCCCGATTTAAAAAGCTATGTGTGCCTGTTACAGATTGTTTGAACTCAAGCACCATGTCTATAACCCACAGCCTCCCTGAGCCAGAGAAAACAGGAACTGGGAAGAATGACAGGCATCCTCTCTCCACCCCCCAGCAGAGCCTGGATGCTTGTGTAAAAGACAAAATAGTATTCTTGGCAGCCCTCCACCCCCGTGGCGGCAGGGCCCAGGGAGTGGTGAGGGAGACACAGCTGGGCTTCTAGAGCTGACTCGGGAGGCTCAACCTTGATTCCACTGGAAGGCAAGATGGACAAAAACAAGAGCGAATTCCACCTCTTGAGTAATCAAAACATATTTGTTTCTAGCGATTTGCTTCTTAAAGTTGGATTTTAGGCCAGACGGGCTGGGCCGAGTCCTACTCTCATCCTCTTGCTCCATTTGCTTCAGCAGAAGCGGAATCACGTGCAGGGTGGATCCTGACTTCAGGCTACCCAGCTGGCAGCCAGGAGGGAGGGCCAAGCTGAGATCCAGGGCCAAAGAATGGCTTGGGGGTGGGCACAGCATGTCCTGCCCACTAGATGTGATAGTGGCAGGGGTGGAGCAGAGGGGCCAGAGGCATTCTCAGCTTGGTTCTGAGAGCAGTGCCCAGGCCCAGAAGGGTTCAAGACTACCCAGGTCTGTGTGGGTAGGCCAGGCAGGCAGCAGGGGAAACCTATTGGGAAGCTAGTCCAGGAAAGGACAAGGTCCTGGATCCGGAGTGGCCAAAGGAAGCATCAGAGAAGGAAGAAGGGCTGTGGGTTATAGACATGGTGCATGGAAAGGCCGGTCTCAAGACCTCGGGTCCCTGGTTTGGTTCAGTCACCAAGATGGCACAGCCCTCTAAGAGAATAGTTGGGATTTTTAAGTGACGCCATAATACCTTTTATCAAGACATGGTAAATGTTTTCTTCTAAATGTTTCTAAAGAGTCCCATGGGGAGCCATCCTGAAATCTGAAGTGAGAAGGAAACCAGCCCTACAGCCAAGTCTCATGCCCATTCCTAGTCACCCAATGGGACACTGATCTGGCTCCCCTTGGAGTGTCCTCTGCCTACGGCAGGGGGGATTAGGCTTGCCAGCCAGTAGTCCCTAGGCATCCTGAATATGGAGAAGGGGAGGTCCTGGAGCTTCAGGCCTGCTGGGGGAGGGAAGGGTTGCAAGGCCCAACCTTGGCGTGTAGAGCACTCAGCCTCAGGGCAGCTATGTCTGGAGGCTTTAGTAAGTAGTTCTAAATGTTGAGGACATTATACTGAGTGAAATAAGGCCACCTCAGAAGGGCCAGTACTGTGTGATTCCACCCCTATGAGGTCCCTAGAGTAGTCAAACACATGAAGATGTAAAGTAGAAGGTGGTAGGACCAGCAGGCAGCGTAATGGTTACGTCACTGGACTCCCACTGGTTGACCGTGGCTCAAGTTCTAGACCCAGCAGCTTGAAACACACACTAGACATATGTGCATGTGTGTTCAGAATCTCAAGAGGAGAATGGAGGAGAAGGGACTGTGGCATGGCCATCTCCCCTGGGGGGTGATTTCTTGCTTTCTGTCTCTCTGACAAGCACATGACCCTGTAGCAAAAATCTCTCTTAAAAAAAAAAAAAGTAGAAAGTAGTTAGCAGGGGCTGAGGAGTTTCAGTTTTGCAGGATGAAGAGTTTTGAAGATGGTGGCAGTGGTAGTTGCACAACGCCATTGATACAAAATGGTAAGTTTTATATTTAAGTTTCGTATTTTACCACAATTTAGAAATATATATATATATCTCCAAGATTTGATAAACAATTCCTAAAAGATTCACTTCAGAAAAATAGCTATACAATGCATTTCACCTATCATGTTAAAACATGCATTAGTCACAGATACAAAGCCATGAAACAAGCCACCGTTCTTCAACAATTTGAGCAAAGATAATGCCTAAGGAACAACATGGATGACTTGCAAAGGATGGGCTCTTGACTTTAAGAACTATTGGGAAAAAACACACACACACACACACACACACACAAACGAATGCGTGTGTACAGTTATATACACTGAATAGAACCTTTGGCCGAGGAACGAGAGCATTTTGGCATACAGCATGAACACATATTATAAAAGAGCATAGTATCAAAGGAATAGAACCTCCAGCATTCGAAAACAGTTTTGTCAAATAGACAGTTAAACACTACAGCATGTCTCTGCTGCTCATCATCGACTGCACTAGTAGCAACTTTGAAATGAAAATAAGAAAGAAAAAAAAGGAGCTAAACTCCTTTTATTTTCTCTGTTTAAAATCAAACAGGAAGCAATCATCAATTCTGTTGTACACTAACATCTTCAAAGAACAAAAAAGGTGTTTACAGAGATCCACACGTAGGCGAGTGAATGCACCTCTCACACAACTTTGCAGGGGTATTAAGGGGAAGTCACTTAATAATTGCTGGCACTAAACAAAGTTGCAGAATTCTTTGCCAGGTGTTTTAGGAAATCAAGAAGATAACTCAGTAAAAAAAAAAAAGCAAGGCTCTTCTCTTCAAGAAGTGTGTAGACCAACATGGCACCAATCTGTACAAGTCATTTCAGTAGATGAGACGCTCTATATACGTGGGACATGGCACACCAGGGTGATCTGCAAGGATCTCAGCATCCTGTGGTCTCTCCAACTCGTAGAGTCACCGGAAGTGCCCAACATGACGCTGAATTATTCTTTTATCCTGGTCACAACCTTAGGAATAGCATACTCCTTACATTTGGTGTTTCCTGGAGATTTCTTATAACTTGCATAATCCTCCAGTACAGAATCCACATTCCTCTTAGCCAGAAGATAAAAGAGCTGTTTTTGCCTGGTAATTAAGTCCCAGTCATCAACAAACCCTGATTTTAGCTCTGGAAATCTTCATCTAACTTCAACTTTGTTCAAGAATGTTTCTTCATTTTCAATAGTAGGGTCTTCCCGGGCCCGTTTCTTTTTGTTTGTTGTTGATTTGGTTTTTTGTTTTTGTTTTTGTTTTTGTTTTGGGGGGGGGGGGGGGATGCTATAGGGCGCTTGTGCTCGCCAGAAAGACGGAGAGGCAGAGAGACAGCGAGAAATCACTTCCCTCTAGGGGGGATGGCCACACCGCAATCCCTTCTCCATTCTCCTCTTGGGATCTTGGGCACCACACGCACACGTGCCTGGCATTGAGTGTAAGCCATCAGGTCCGGGACTCGAACCACAGTTGACTACGTGAGAGTTCAGCGACATAGCCATTACCCTGCTGGTCCCACCCGGGCCCTTTTCTGCCGAGGTGGAGGAGTCTGCCACCGTCTCCATTCCCAGATGTTTTCTGTTTGTTCTTTTTTGTCTCCGCTTCAACATTTTTCCGTTGCAGACCAGATGTCTTCTTTCCTGGGGCAACCCTTATCATCTTCCCCTCTGCATACTTCTCATTGGCTTTATGAAGTTCTCTTGCTGTTTCTGCAGATTGGCATCCATGTATTTGAGTACTCTGCTCCCTGGAACCCATTCCTCCCAATTTTTATTCCAACCACTGTAATGTACAAAATATTCCATTTGTTTGTTCTTTATGACAACTTTCACACATTTGCTTCATAAAGAAGAGGTCCATAAGGGACCAGCAGATGGCATAATGGCTGCATCACTGGACTCCCATGTAGTCGACTGCAGTTTGAGTCCCGGACCCGGTGGCTTAAACTCAGGCTGGCACATGTGGGTGTGCGTCTAAGATCCTGAGATCCCGAGAGGAGGAGAAGAGGAGAAGGGATTGCGGCATGGCCATCCCCCCTGGGGGGTGATTTCTCGCTTTCTGTCTCTCTGCCTCTCTGTCTTTTTGGCAAGCACACACACCCTATAGCAAAAACATCTATACTCAATTATTAGACATTTAATTTCATCTAACTGCCAAAAAAAAAAAAAAAGAAGAGGTCCGTGAAAGCGAAGAGGTCCGTGAAAGCACAGTGCTCTCCCACCCTCCTAAAATTTAGGCTCCCAATCCTGCTTTGGCGCCATTTATAAATGATTTGCAGACTCCTCCCACCGCCCCGACTATGGCCCCCTACTCCCTACTCTACCCAACTCCTGGTCAGATGCTCTGTCAGGCACTGCCAGCTCTGGGCCTTTACCACAATTTTTAAAAATAGATTTAAGCTGGGGCCAAAAGGTGGCATAGAGGTTAAGGTAGCTGGATCCCACAGAGCTGACTCCACGTTTCCAGTCCTAGATCCAACAGCTAGAAAAACAGGCCAGGTGCATTGTGTGTGTATGTGTCCAAATTCCTGAGAGAATAGAGAAGGGATTTCAGCACACACTCCTGGGGGTGTGATTTCTCATTTTCTAAACTCTGTCTCTAAAAAACTCACACTATAGCAAAAACTAAAACTAAAAATTATTTAAAAAAAAAATTGTAAAGGCTATTAGTGAGTTATATTACTTGTCTGAAAAAAAGCAAAAACATGGATCCATGTTCAAGTCCCAGAACTGGTGGCTTGGAAAACATATGTGTGCAAACATGCCCAAAATCCCAAGAGGAGAATGAAGGCTAGAGGGGATCACAGCATGGTCATCCCCTGGGGGGGGAGGTATACTTTCCCATTTTCTTTTTCTCTATCTGCCCCCCCCCCCATAAAAGCATGTGCCCTATCACAAACAGTAATAACAAAAAAAAAGATGGAGCAGCCAGTACATGGCATAGTGGTTAAGGCACTAAATTCCCATATGGCTGAAAAGAGTTCAAATCCTGAACCCAGCATCTTGAAAATCATGCCAGGCACATGTGCGTGCCCAAAATTCTGAGAGGAGAGTGGAGAAGAAAGGATTGCAGCGTGGCCATCCCCCTCAGGGGTGAGTTGTCATTTCCTTCTCGCTCTCTCTCTGCCTCTATCCAGCCAGCACATACGCCATACAGCAAAAACCCGGAAAACAAACAAACAAACAAAAAGTGGATCCACATCACTTTCTTTAGAGTGTAAAACAAAAAAAAGGTGGATCCAC